AGCTCAGGGCAATATGATATTATAAACACCAGCACATATAAGTCTCTGGTGTTTATAGCTTCAGAGCAAAGAAAACACATCATTCATAACAGAAACAGCTCGCAATAGCCACAGGAACGTTGCTGCAAGACAGGCATATGTAACGACGACTTAGCGCTCTTAAACGCGTGTGTCATTAAATACAGTCCTCCTGACAACAGGCCAGTGAAAAATCTAACAATCTACAGCAAAACCATCAATTATTATGGGCGTTATAACATACGTGTGCAGCTGGACGAAACATACACGTCGAACCCCCCCAGACGATTTAAATCCCTGACGAAACATACACGTCGAACCACGGCAACGGGTTAATGATGCTGCCAGTAGTTCACATTATATGACACCAAACGATTGTATGATAATGGATAATGAATTGGAAAGGGTGTGGAACAGTCATGGTCTAATCTAAGGTACTATCCTGGAATTTACTTGGAGGACCTGAGGAAAGCCTTTCAAGTTGGTCAGTGTCCTGACCAATATTCAAGCTGGGCACTTCTCAATACAAGTCACAAGCATTACTACGTTATTTGGAAAAACTTGCTCAGTCAACTGACTGTGTCGGTATAAGCATCACCTGTTCTGTAGCGATGGTAGGAGCTGGCCGAAATCTTTCTATCCCTCAACCTGCAGCAGGCCAAGCAGTTAGTTGAACTATGGCGGTAGTCTGAAGCTACAGCAGCACTGTGATACGTCTTCATCTGACTTTCAAGATCTTCAGAATCTGAGCTGCAGCTGGTTTCAATATCTTCTTCCCCTGCAATATGTATTAAACACTAACTGAATCCCCAACACAGCTCAAACCCAATCTCTCAATGCTATATAGGGGATTAAATGTCAACCAATATGCTGGGAAGTAAAATTAAACTTATACTATACCTTTCAACTATAATTTTCATAATTGACCTTCACTTCCTACTATTATTTTTAAGGTGCAATGTGATTTCCTGCTTTACTTAAGAATGTATACAAGATACCTAAAAATGATACAAAACAGATAAAAATTGTAGACATCATTTGATTTTTTATTCTTGAATCCCTAAAAAAAGTTTGGACTCTATCTTCTAACCTGTTCAAGAGTTATTACTCTTTTAATTTCCACTAAATTTACATGTAATCTTATGGAAGTTCATCACCTCATACATTATAGTATATGAAAAACGTGTATAATTTTAGACTTTAGGGATAATGTTGCAAAATTACATTTACCTCCACTAGAAGAGAAATTAATAAAAACATATTGAAATCTTGACTTTTACTTGATTCGCAAGCTATTCACTGTAGAAATGCGGCAACATTAGAAAAAGTTACACAGTAGTGTAGCGAGGTTTCAGCAGTTTCTCTTCTGTTCTCTCCATTTTTCTACTGAGTGAGACTTTTCTCATATGTACTGTTAGTCACTCTTCTTCATTTCCAATTGTAAGTTGCTTCTGGCATCATGATGCGCAAAAACACAATGTAACAATGAGAAATGTAGCCATGAATAACCGACAACTGTATGACACGTCCATTAAAGTTTCAGTTGTGGCGCTGGCCCGCTCATGTGGGACCACTGAACTGAGCAAGGCAGCCAACTTATGGAAAACTACAGTGTTGATAAGTTTACTTATTCTCAGAGAGTATTTCAATAATCAAAATGAATAAAATTACATTCATGGTTTTCATAAATATGATAAATAACAAACAATTTATTTACATTAAATTGTGATTTAGTATTTTGTATAGAAAATAATTTAACTTAACAATTTTGTTGTCAGGTTTGATTCAGAAGTTTTATTACAATGAGTGACATATATGATAGAGCCATGCCATAGCTCAGGCAGTTAGTCGCTGGCTTCACACTGTGGTGGCTTGAGTTTGAGCCCAGGTCAGGTCATGTGAGATTTGTGGTGGACAAAATGGCACTAGAACAGGTTTTCTTCTGAGCATTTCAGTTACTCCTGCCAATGGCTGGGACCTACTTTAAGATACACTTCAATCATTTGTCTGCGGAATCTGAGGAAAACAACTAAAACTCATGACAGACAGTCTTTATGCACAGATTAAAATCTGGAAAATTCCAAATATGAAACTGCATTGCAAAATAAACTACAAAATTATGCAGCACTCAAATGAACAAGTATAATGACCTTGAAAACTGTCTAAAAATATTGCAGCCCTTCAGTGGCACTCCACCACCAGTACAGGCACAAGGAAAAACACAAACCTGCTTCCTGCAAATCCTCCATTTCTCCAACTGATGTAGATCTTCGTCTCTCTGAGTCTCCTCCCTGACAACTTCTGTCTTTCTGCTCTGCAGGTTTTGTTGGCTCTTCTCTTGGGTACAAACAGGCCAGCTCTCGTGGCAGACAGATCCCCATGTAACACTGCTGTGTGGAACTGCTTTCAGTTACAAGCCCTGGAATAAAATGAGGTATGTGTAAGATGAACAAAACTGAAAACCCACAAAAAAAAAAAAGACTCATACTAACAATGTGAATATTTAAACATCATATGTACTCATTTCAGCATACACATACTTCTTCATGATAGAAATCAATCAGCAGGTGGATCACAAGTGTCCACATCACATCAGGTTACTAGCTACCTTGACTGAAGTTTTCTTGGTTCTTCTCAGTCTTTCCATGCTAATTCTGGGACAGTACCTCAAAATATGCCATGACCAAAATGTTCCATATTCTTCTCAATTTGTTAGTCCCAACCTACCCTGTCATTTGATCCTGCATCTTCTGAGCTACTGACATCAGGAAATAAATACATGGAACAGCATATCTAACTCCGTGGAGCAAAGTTCTTCTTGAGAAGCTGGCAGTAGCTAGCTCAGCCTTCACACCTAGGAAATGATAACATGAAGCTGCAAAAGAAGTTATGAATCTAAGCTTTCCAGCTACAAAACTGGCTCACCTGAATGTCTGGCTGCTGCAAGGTTGGATCTACTGCCAATGTATGTTCGAGGTGCCAGAGAAATGGAACTTGCTCCACTTAGCAGCTGCGGAGGAAGACTTGCTTCAAACTCACACATGCTAAATGAAAAGGAAACTCAATTAATTTATCTGACATACTTCACTGTAACCCACTGTCTTGCTTGAAAAACAATGAAATCAATTCCTGCAATAAAACTGTCCCCAGATGCCCTATCAGCCAGGCAGCTATATATAAATACATAAAAGGTATGGTAAAGTTGTCCCTATGTGTATTTTTTTTATTGCTAGTGGGGTGGGATTAAGTCCCTTGTACTGCGGCCACTTCTGGCCCATTGTACCAGCCCCAGATGATAGGTGAGGGTGGAGCATTTGATGGAATGAAGATTGGCAGGGGAAACCGAAGTACTCGGAAAAAACCTGCCCCACCACCACTTTGTCCACCACAAATCCCACTTGACCAGACCCGGGATCGAACTCGGGCCACCACAGTGGGAAGCCAGCGACTAACTCCTTGAGCTATGGTGCAGCCCTGTCCCTGTATGTAACTAATTAAGAAGTATTTCATTAAGGCATATGAGGGAGTGGATGTACAGATCCACATTTTCTTCACTTCGGCACTAGCTGGAGCTGAGTGGTCAGCTTCATGCCCCAACCGCTTTACCCCAAGGGAAATAGCCCCCAGTACCCATTGGATAGGGGATCGGGTGAGCCCCAGAGCCAGTATGGGCAATGTGGAGAAGGAAAAATTGTTGACCCTACCAGGACTCAAAGTCTGACCCCTCGGTCATCCAGCCCATAGACAGTCGCTATATCAACTGCACTATCCTGGCACCTTACATATGTCAGATTATACCTTCTAACTCCAGCATTATGCATTACACTAGAATCTCAACCTTTGGATGCACAGTAACTGCAATGTGGCATCCAAAATTTACGACAATATTCCTATAAACAAGGACCTGTGTAAGTGACCACCATGTCACTACCTTCAAAAATAAAAGCATACCAATCAGTTTCACATGGAACTAAAATGTGGGAAGAATCACGAGTCACAGAAGATAAAAAGCCAGCCTGCTACCTCTTACTTACATCAGTCAGGCGAAGAATAATCCTCACCACCTACAAAATGGAGCACATTTCCATGACTGTTAAAAGTTAGGGGAAGGAAATTTGTTACACTTCAGCAGACAGTCATGTGGCTGCTGTAATACTAAAACTATTTAATTTCACTAGAAGACTAGCTCATTAAATGCAGTCACTGAAACAACCTGCCACGAGATGGGTTGTTTCCCTAAGATTTCTTTTCCTTACGACACCCCTTAATGTTGTTCTCCCACCTCTTTCTTGGTCTTCCAAGTGGGCATCTTCCACGACGTTTCAAACCAGCATACAAAATCTGTCCACTGTTATGTGATATAACATCATTATTACTTACCCTGGATGTGCATAGTGCCTATCCAGACTGTGCACTTTCAAAGCTCGGCTTGCACATGAGGAATGACTAGATGATGGGCTATGTCCATGTTCATCAAGTACAAGTAATTCCATGGCAGCGAGAGAGACGGTGTCAGAATACAAAGGCCGATGATACCGATGCAAATAACGTAATGTTGCATAGCCAAGCATATCCTGCTGGCTCAGACGACAGCTTGATGCATCAGGAGAAGTGAGACCTGACGTTATGCTACCTGTAATACACAATTTAACGTCTATTGAAACTAAATTTTAATTAAAATCCCCAGACCAAAATATATACCATCCTTTGGCTCTACATACCAATTCAGGTCCTGGCCATCTGTACTATTCCAATTTTATAAATTACATCTTAAAAGGGTCAATGACTTATTAAACAGAGAACAGGATCCTTACAAGATCTCTAAACATACAGAACACAGAAAAATGTGGACAATCATCCACATTCCAAGTAGATTTCGAATTTCTGATCTGGGTGTTAGAATGTTACATGACTATGCAAGCCTTAGACCCTACAACCACCAGGCTACTACCTTTAAACCTTGTTAACTATATCTACACTTACATACGACTCTGTGTGTGTGTGTGTGTGTGCGCGCGCGCGCGTGCGTGCGTTTTGGGAGCGTAGTTTTGAGAAGAAAAGAGGAGAGGGGAGAAGATGGAGGAAAGGAATCTTAGTTTACAAATTAGGCACTTCCTTCCTATGTCAAAGAATATGTATCAATATAAATTTAGTACAACCTCTTTATTAACCCTTTGACGTGGTCATTTAAATTCCGCGGCCGCGGCTCCTGCGGTAATATATTCAGCCGGCCATTTAAATTTTGCTCGAAAATGATTTATTCATCATTGTTCTTAAATTCTATGAGATAGGAACATGAAACTTTTACTAAAATGATCTAAAAAGGTGGTTTTATAACCTTACCTTATAATATGAGCAGCCGGTATCTCGGCAATGGAAGCAGTTTGTTTAGAATTTGAGCAGTGAATGGTACGCTTTGAAGCATGGAACTTTCACTAAAATGATCTTAAAAGATGGTTTTATAACCTTGCCTTATAATATGAGCGCCCTGTATCTCGGGAACGGAGTATGGTACGCATTGAAGCATTCTACTATACACAGCGCTGTCTCACTTCACCACACCAGTACTGCGTATCTCTCATTTGGCTCTCTTTTCCGTAAACCAAACATCTTCTGTGAGGCCTTGCATTCTTCCCCGTGGGGGGAATACAAGTGGAAATGTCTCTCCCTGAGTCGTATATTTTGCCAGATTAGCTGCAGTAAATTCAACCTTTGTGTTATCATAACAAGGGTTTGGTGCTTCTGCGTTTCAGATTCCAACCTTTTCGGCTGCCCCAGATGCCGTAGGGGTGACCACAGAATTCATGAAGTTATTCTAAGAACTGTCTGGTATATAGTGAACGAAAGCAGAGCTTAGCTGGCTCAAAAAAAATATTTATGGTCATCCCTCGAAACGACCACCAAGGTCAGTACGATAAAATGGCGTCAACTGGAGCGATAATGAGTACTTTTCCCTCCCCCACACACATCCGTATCGTCTCAGGGGGTGACCACAGTGTTCTGCCTTAAATTGTGGCGTTTTTCTAAGAAATGGGTGCTATGTACTGTGCGAAAGCAATCGATTTTACAAGAATAAAATTTTGGACAACCCTCTTCTAAGAATGCCATTTGAGTGTGTCAGTGTGGCCAGCTCGGGGCAATATCATATTACGAGTATAAACACATCACATCACGTCTCTCCTGTTTATAACTTCGTAGCAAAGAATAAACGACATTCATAGCGGTGAAACCGCTAGCAAGAGCCACAGGAACTTTGCTGCAAGACAGGCATATGTAACAATGACTTATCTCAGCTAAACTCGTTGGCTTATTATACTCTGTTCTTGTGACAACAGGCCAGCGAAAAATCTAACAATCTACAGCAAAACCATCAATTATTATGGGCGTTATAACATAGGTGTGCAGCTGGACGAAACATACACGACGAACCCCCCCAGACGATTTAAATCCCTGACGAAACATACACGACGAACCACGGCAACGGGTTAACAGTCACAACATAACAAATATCCAGATCAGTGCCCAGTATGGCTCTGCTACATTTTTCGGCTATCAATAGCCATCATCAGGCAAATACATGGTTAAACATACATACACCACTGAACTGTAGTACTATTAAACTGGATACAATACTATTAATCACATAAAACACTTGACGTAAAAAATACAGTACATCAGATTATATAAAACAAAAGTATAAAACAAGAATAAAATTTTACTTGATGTTTTATAACATCGAATCAGTCAGTTTTATAATTTCGTACATTCCCACGGACAAATTGCAATATTCTATATTTTTTCTTTTCGTATATAAGATTGTATAGGAGGTTCGTAATGTAGATGTAGTAAATGTTAATTGTTTAGTCGGTGCCTCACCTTACAAAGTACTGTCCGTACTGTATGGAACGTAAACAACGACTCTCTAGATGCAGATTGTATAAAATTTTATTTAGGTGTTGTTTTTTAGTATACCAAAATTTAATTTAATTTTTTATTCTTGTTATTTGCAAATTTTTGATGGCTTTTAGATCTCTAGCTTTGTTATGTGGATTTACTTTCATCTTTGTTAGTGCATATTTAGGTGTTAAGTTTTCAGCCAAGCATTTCTTATTAAAATATAATTTAGCATTGCAGTTCAATAGCTTTAGTTTAGTGTTCATGTAGTTATATATGCAGCTTGCTTGACTAGCATTTATAATTTTCATTTCATGCTTCCTGTTGTGTTACACGGTGTTGTGTTGTGACAGTTAATATAGAGGTTGTATACTGTAACACAACGGGATGCATGAAATGAAAATTATAAATTTAGATCATCCAAAAGAGTTGTATGTATATATGTGTGTGTGTAATGGGTGGACCACACAATCTGGCCCTTGCACTGCGACCTTCAATGATCTATTATGCTTCCCCTTTGGATTAACCCTTTATTAATCCTACACTTTGAATGAAATGTAGGACTTTATTTATGGGGGGCATCATAAAAGTCAACTAGTTCCATGAAGAACTGATCCAGGTAACAAAATCTTAAATAAGCTATGGCCTCACAGTCACATAGGATATGTGTGGCTGATTCTTGTAGGCACCTTTCACAAATTGGGTCCTCTGCCAGTCCCAGTTTGAAAAGGTGTCCTTTTAGGTTGCAGTGTCCAGTAAGTAATCCTACCGCCTATCTTAATTGATCTCTGTTTAATTTCAAGGTTCTTTGTTCTTCTGGCAGAGGGTCCTGATATAAATCCCTTTGCCTGTTGAGTCCAATTGTGGATTCCGAGTGTTTTTTGTGATTTCTATCTGTCCAGTCCCTGATTGCTTTCTTGGCAATCCCAAGCTGGTTCAGGTCCTATGAACGGATGTTCAGATCCTGTTACTGCCAGCTGATCTGCAGTTTCATTCCCAGCAATACTCTCCTACTGAGATGCCACAAGCTGGTTCAGGTCCTGTTCTTGCCAGCTGAACTACAGTTTTATTCCCAGCAATACTCTCCTACTGAGATGCCGCAAGCTGGTTCAGATCCTATGAACGGATGTTCAGATCATGTTCTTGCCAGCTGATCTGCAGTTTCATTCCCAGCAATACCCTCATGACCTGGCACCCATATTAGTTGAACTCTGTTATGTTACCCAATATGGATGCTTCAAGGCTGCACCACAGCTCAAGCAGTTAGTCGCTGGCTTCCCTCTGTGGTGGCCTGGGTTCGATTCCAGGTCTGGTCAAGTGGGATTTGTGGTGAGCAAAGTGGCGCTGTGGTGGGTTTTCTCTGAATATTTCAGTTTCCCCTGCCAATCTTCATTCGACCAAATTCTCCATCATCATAATCATGGGGGCAGGCTACAATAGGCCAATCAGTGACCAAAATGCTGAGTGGACCCAGTTGGACTCCAGCCCTCAATAAGCGAATTTAAAAAAAAAGGGGGGGGGGGCTGCTTCAACAGTGATAACTCCCTCATACTACCTTGTGGATGGGACTGTGGACAATTATCTGAAGCAGCATGTTCATCAACATTTTCTGCTTTATGTGGCCAAGAACTGAAGTAAACAAAGGGTCTACACTTATTTTTAAAACAACAAACCATACCTGTATGTATCTGATATCATTTGAACAGTAAGGATATCAGACATACCTGTTAACTGAACACAATTTATTGTATAACAATAAAGCAGAAGGCAAACTGTATAAAGTTGGAAAATTCTCCAGTTACCAATCAGAAAAATGAAATATCTGCAAGCATCTGCTACCATAAACACATTTTATCAAAAGACAAAGACAGAGGCTTTTTGGGGAGATACTTTTCATGTGTATGGCTGGTATTCCACTAAATGATGCTATATGAACTTCAGAGATTATTTAATATCAAATGTGGTGACAGGGCAAATAAATATGGAGAATCTGAAAGGGAATAAAAGTGTAGAATTTTTTATACAGCTCTAACCCAGTATTTGTCAGCAGTGACTGGGGAAAACAATACAAAACCCTGACTTGACAAAGCCAATGCTTTGTTCAAGATGTAAACTGTGTACAAGCTAGAAGCGCTACTGCCATGCCAGTTTGCTTCGTCATGTGTGGCGAATTTTGTGCAGGAAAAGTAAAAGAGGACTCACTGAGATGAATATAGATTAGTACACACATTACAGTAAAATGCACTATTCGATTTGATATAAGGCTGAGATAACTGAAATATGACAAAACAAGACAATCCAAATGGTATACTATGGCATAACACTTGGTCTCACAGTGAGGAAAGTGCAGGCCAATGAATGGGCAGTTATACAGAATGAAAATCCAGACTGGCACGCATACATAGGTTCAACAAATGACAAGGAAATTGTTTTGCAGTAGTGAAATTCTTCGAATGTCACAGAACACAACCTTTGGCAACAAATGTAAATAATGGTACAAATAATAACCATCACTAACAGATTCCTTCAAAAGGCACTACATTACAAGCCAGAAGGTCGCGGGTTCGATTCCCAATGAGATCATTTGATTGCTCAATCCTTCCAGCCACACTACAGCCTTGGGGTTCTCTCAGCCTGTAACAGAAATGAGCACCAGGAATTTTCCTGGGGGAAAAGGGCAGCCAGTGTGTAAGGCTGACAACTTCACTGCCATCTTTAAGCCAACTGTCTGGAAAGATGTGGAAGCCTCACCATCTCACAAACCTATGGGTCTCCATGGCCCGTGACAGGTACAACTTTACCCCCCCACCCCTTTTTAAAGTCTAGGTCAAGCAATAATCCACTATTTTTTCCATCTGTGTTACAGTCCGTGCACTGGCCACTGTTCTGTTCATGGAAAAGCCAAGGATTATGTCATAAATAATATACTTCCACGTAAAGGTCAATTTACTTACCATGGATGGATGACAATTTCCTGTAAGAAATTTGACTTCCCTTAGCTTCCTCAGCAACAGCCCCTGATTTAAGTGTGTTGAGAGAAGTTGAACTTTGAATTGGACTTAGTGTCTGCTCATGAGGCCCTCCATGCTTGCCTGTGGGTCCAAGTCCTCCTGAGTCACATGAACTCACACCACTTGAATCTGTACAGCTATTGCAGCGGCTCTTGCTTTCCTGTTCGCCCCTTGAAGAGTCCTTCCTAGTTTAACAAATGAGAAAACAAGTTCTAATTTAATGTATATATATGTTTATACATTTGTGTTCTGCATCAGGAAAAAACATTATAGATAATAAACAAGGAAAATGAGGGAACTGAATCTTGTAGCATGTTGCCATATGCATATATTAAAAAGAAATATATTTTAACATAAAGACTACTGAATAATATTCATATTTAGTCCTGCATCATCATCAGAAGCATCAAAGTTTGGATCTTTCAATCCATCTTGCGTTTCTATTACAATTTAACTTCAGGCATCAAATGTATCTTCTCCCTCTAAGTGTATAATCCATTAACTGTTATCTACTCAAACACCAAACAATTAATATACCTCCTAACAGCAGCAAATTGTAAATTTGAAAGAAATAATTCCTATGAAGTGGTGCAGAGACCATAGAACATAAAACACTGTCATATACATCAACAAACAACCAAAAGTAACTGAAGAATTGCTGTATTAAAAGTAACTAAGCCCCATCTATGGCCTCGGTAACAAGTGACTCATTCTCACTGTCCCCCTAATACTTAAAAAAAGGTTTACCAAGGGAGTGGATCATGTATTACCTACAGTATTTGATATATACACTACAATGAAACTTCTTGTAGCAGAAAATTCTACATAATAAGCCCAGTATGAGGTCCAAAGACAAGCTTTCAATGTTGTACAAGTTTGATGGTATATGGGTATTTGGTATGGTATTCCCACGCTATGTATCCTATATATAACACAACACCGTCGTCCCCAGACAATCTATGTAAAACCACCGCACAGTGTAGAACACACCATACATGCCAAAAGTGTATATGCCCAGAGAAGAAACATATGTCATATTTCAAGTTTTATATATAGGATACATAGCGTGGGAATACCATACCAAATACCGACATACCATCAAACTTGTACATCATTGAAAGCTTGTCTTTGGACCTCATAGACCGGGCTTATTACACAGAATTTTCTGCAACAAGACCCATGCAACATACACGCCCAATTCCACACTGTAGCAGGATATCCACGTAAGTAATATTTCAGTTGGCATACAGATCCCTAACCCCACATATATTAAATACCTTTTAATATACTTTTATATACTTCTAATATACCTTTAATGTGTTTTAATAATATTTCAACATTTTTATATATGTACACCTTTATTCTATCTTTTATCTTATTCTTATTTTTTATTTGTTATTCTTCATCATATATTTACTATTTTAACTATACACTAATTTGAGGCAGAGTATTTATGTTAATATTTACTATGACCTGTTGCACCGATAAGGATCCGTATTGGCATTTCAATAACT